TATTACCGACATTTCACATCTTCTTTCGGCTGCCACTAATACACTTTGGTTGCGTAATCAGCCACTCGGCATATTTTAATACTAAATTTACAACCGAGATCTTATTTCATACTCATTTTGCTCCTTGACACACAAATTGAAGTCGTATCTCAGACGCGTCATTGTTCTATAAACAGACGCGGTAGATCCTTCAATCTTCAGCAATGGTCCGAATAACAAATGGATCTAGCACTTTCAAATATTCGTAACTTTTACTCTTTTCTTCCACTTAACATCATAAGAAAAATCTATCGATCTCGAGTGGAAAGATTGAGAGTGTTAATGCTCCATAATATCCCCAATGATATTCGATGGTTGATTGAAGCAAACGTTCGCGTATCTGGCGAGTTCCCCAATGCATACAAATATATGACAGGTATGGGTAGAAGTACTTTTGCCAAGAAACGAAGAGCTAAAAGAATAGGCGACTGTTATAAATGTGCTCGTTGGAATTGTGACACACGATGTACATCTTTACGATTTGTGTCCAAAAATCGAGAAGATAAAATAGCTTTTATCAAGGATGGATTGAGTAGAGAATCTACGGATCAAACACTCCAACATATTCTTGAGACACATCCTAGTGGATACGTGCATCGAGAACTTATGTCTTTATGGTTCTGTTTCAAAAATGAACAAAACCGCTATAGTCTTGAAACTATTGTTGCTAAGGATACTGTTTGCTACAACTGTCTCTGTTAACCATATTTATTATAATGTATTGAATATCTTATCCCTTCTGATAGATAACGCTCATTTACAGCTTAACTTCTTACTTGTCTGTTGCTTCTATCAGAGTGCAACAATATAATATTTATCTCTTCATAAACTTTCTCCTTAAATATACCAATCATTCTTTATGATCTCTCCACACCAAATGGAGGTTTCTGAGTCTTCTCAAGTTACTAAGGTTCTTCAACCTATAAAAACCATATGTGTTCTTGGCGGTCCTAAACTTGTAGCTTCTTCTCCAAATATTGATATTGTATCCCAACTAGTAAGAGAACTGGGAAACCAAAAGATCAATTTACTGTATGGAGGAACTAGCCTCGCTTTCTTTGGCAGCCTTCTCCTGGCTGGAAAATGCTTTGATATTGAAGTGAAAAGTGTTCTACCATT